TATTTCATTGTTGGCGTACAAAAATGCCTTTGGTAAAACTAATAATGGAACTGCCTTTTGACCCAGCAATTCCACTGCTGGGAATACATACTAAGAATCCCAAATCACCAATTCAAAAAGACCTTATGCATGCCAATGTTCATAGAAGCATTATTTACAGTAGCCAAGTGCTGGAAACAGCTTAAGTGCCCATCAGTAAATGAGTGGATAAGAAAATGGTGGTACATTTAATGAGTTCCGGCCAAGATGGAAGCATAGGTAGAAATGCTTCACTTCCTCACACAAAAGAAAGATAACCACCAATTTAAAAACAATAAACAAACAGTAATGCCAGAAAATCAAACTGCATAGAACTCTGACAACCAAGGAGTTAAACGCTCATCCAAACCAGTAGGAAAGGTGAAGACAGGCACCCAGGCAGAGAAGATGTGGCAAGGCTGGAGACTATGTGAATGAGGCAGAGCTGGCTGACCAGAAAATAAAGATTCAAAACCTCTAGCTATAAAATATTGTGGGTATTTCAAAAGCGGGAGAAACTCCTAGTCTCACAAGAGAGTTCATTGGAAAGTAGGACTAGAGTGGAGATAGGAACTGAGTGACATTGTTCCTTCCCTTGACCCCTCCCCCACAGACAGCACTCCAACACAGCAAAGAGGAATGCCCCACCCTGGCATATACCTAAGGCTCTGCTCCCTTACAACAGGTGCACCAAGACAAACAAATATGACCCAAATGAAAAAACAGATCAAAATTCTAGAAAAAGATCTAAGTAACACTGGTAATCAAGATGCTCACAGAATTGACTGAGCTCACTTGCAAAATGAAGGAAGAAATGAAGGCTATACAAATTGATATAAAGGAAAATATACAGGAAATCAACAGTGAAGGGAAGGAAACTGGGACTCAAATCAATGATTGGGAAAAACAAGAAGAAATAAACATCCAACTGGAACAGAATGAGGAAACAAGAATTCAAAAAAGTGAAGAGGGACTTATGAACCTCTGGGACAATCTGAAATGTTTCAATATCCAAATTATAGGGGTTCCAGAAGGAGAAGAGGAAGAGTAAGAAATTAAAACTTATTCAAACAAATAATGAAGGAAAACTTCCCCAGTCTGGTGAAGGAAATAGACTTCTGGGAAATCCAGGAAGCCCAGAGAGACCTAAAGAAATTGGGCCCAAAAAGGAACACACCAACCCATATCATAATTACATTACCTAAGATTAAAGATAAGGGGAGAATCTTAAAAGCAGCAAGAAGAAAGGAGAGAGCTACCTACAGAGAAGTGCCCATAAGACAATCAGCTGATTTCTCAAAAGAAACCTTGCAGGCAAGAAGGGGCTGGAAAGAAGTATTTGAAGTCATGAAAAATAAGGACCTCCATCCAAGATTACTCTATCCAGCAAAGTTGTCCTTTATAATGGAAGGGCAGGTAAAGTGCTTCCCAGATAAGGTCAAGTTAAAGGAGTTCATCATCATCAAGCCCTTACTATATGAAATGTTAAAGGAACGTATAAAAAGAAGATCAATAACTATGAACAGTAAAATCACAACAAACTCTTAACTTTCAAAAACTGAACATGAAAAACAAAACAAACTTAGCAAACCACTAAGAATAGGAACAGAATCAGAGAATTGGAGATCAGTGGGGAGGGGGAGAATGAGGGGGAAAGGTACAGGGAATAAGAAGCATAATTGGTAGGCATAAAATAGACAAAGGGGAGGTTAAGAATAAATAGTATATGAAACAGAGAAGCCAAAAAACTTACATGTACAACCAATGGATATGAACTAAGAACTTATATGTACAACCAATGGATATGAACTAAGGGGAATGCTGGAGGGTAGGTTGTGCAGGGTGGAGTGGGAATTAAGGGGAGAAAAAAATTGGGACAAGTGTAATAGCATAAGCAATAAAATACACCTAAAAACAACAACAAAAACACCTGTCGTACATTTACACAACGAAATACTTACTATGCAGCACAAAGAAAAAAGGAGCTCCTACTCTTCACAACAGCATGGATGGATCTGGAGAGCATTATGCTAAGTGAAATAAGTCAGGCAGTGAAAGACAAATACCATATGATCTCACCTATAAGAGGAACCTAATCAACAAAACAAACAAGCAAGCAAAATATAACTAGAGGCATGGAAACATGCAACAGATTGACAGTGACCAGAGGGCAGGTGGGAGGGAGATAAGGGGAGAAGAAGGGGAAGGGTCAAGTCAAGGAACAGATATAAATGACCCATGGAGATGGACAACAGGGTGGGGAATGACTGTGGGAGAGAGGGGCATGTGTGGGGGAGGGGGAGCAACTGGGGGAAACTGGGACAACTGTAACAAAACAATAAAAAGTGAACCCCCCCAAGATTTCGAGGGAGCTAATTTTGCTTGCCAGGGGCCCATTTACCCTATTTTAAAGAACATACAGTTTTTTAAAGGCTTCAGCATATTCATTATTAGAATGCAAATTGATTCTGCTAATTATAGATTAGCATAATCTACTGCAAAATCCTAAAAGGGCAATAAATACTTTGGTATCACTGAATATGCTCATTAGAAATAAAACTGCAATTGTTCAGAGTTAGTTCACAGTTCAGATTAATGCATACTCCTTTTCCTCACTCTCATGAGTTAAGTACAGTTCAGGAGGTACTTCTGTAAACTAGCATATTGCTTATCATGAACACAGTGGAAAAGGTAATAAATGAGCAAAAAAGGCCTTGGAGCAACCAGCACAGACGTCTTAAAGTTGATGGACTAAATCCTGTAACTCTCTCCACAGATTTAACCCTTAAGTTGATTTAACTCTTGGTTAACATACTAATCTATCACACCAACTTGGAGAGCTGGTGGTTTTTTTTAAAGTTCATAACTAATTAGGAGAAAAAGGGTTGCTACATGAAAGGACACTGAGAGAAATGAGAAGTGACTACACACTGCAGAAAGGAGACAGGATGTGTGTGTGTGTGTGTGTGTGTGTGTATGTATATACGTACATATATATATATTGCAGTATAATAACAAATGACTAAAATTATGCCTCTAAATGATAAGTAGACTTTAGATCATCTTGAATATATGCCCTTAAAAAGGCAAATAAGTTTACAGTGGGTGATCACTTAGTAAGGTGCTTAAATGTCTAATCACTATGTTGCACACCTTAAACTAATATAATACTGTGTGCCAACAGTAACTGAAAATCAATTTATTTTAAAATGGCAGATAAGTTTATACACACATACATAAGACTTGTAGCCATAATGGTTGACCTGAAAATGTGAAATCTGTTGATGCTTAAAGATATAAAGTTTATAATATTATCATATAATAACAAAATAAAAGCAACATTATTGATTAGTATATACAGATATCATGTTAAGCACTTTACCTGTATAATTTCATTAAATTCTACTAGCAGTCCTAAGAAGTAGGCTTTATTTTTTTTTGTTTAAATTTACTGGGGTGAATTTGTTAATAAAATTACATAGGTTTCAAGTATATGGTTCTATAATACATCATCTGTATATTATAATGTGTGTTCCCTACCCCAAGTCAAGTCTCCTTGCATCACCATTTAACCCCTCTTTACCCTCTTTTGCCTCCCCCCAGGGCCTTTTGCTTCTGGTAATCACTGTGCTGTTGTCTCTGTCTATGAGGTTTTTATTTTTTTAATCCCCTCACATTTTTCACCTAGCCCAGAAACTCCTCTCCCCTCTTGAGAGCATTATGCTAAGTGAAATAAACCAGTCAGAGAAAGAAAACTATCATATGATATCACTCATATGTGGAATCTAATGAACAAAAATAAACTAACAAGCAAAACAAAAACAGACCCAAAGAAAAAGAAGTAGGTTTTAGTATCATTTCAACTTCACAATTGACAAAAATGAAACTCAGAGAAGTTAAGGAACCAATCCTAGGCCACAGACAGACAGACCTGGGATTAGATAGAACTCAGGCCAGTTCCTTGGCTATATATTATGCCTTCCCCAATGGTCTGGAAAATATAGCTCTCAAAGCATCACTCTTTTCTTGAGGAAACCAGCTAGCTAATGTTTTACTATATTTTTATTTTCCAAACTTGTATTTAATAAATGTCTTGATTTATAATCAGAAAGACCTATGATCTAAGACTCACATATGGTATTACATATTTATAAACATGTTTCATGTTTTAAGTTGAATGTAAAAGTAATAGTAAAAAAAAACCACCATGAGTTGTCTGTTAGGTTCATATCCCAGATTCTCAGATCAGTCTGTATATACTTAGGATAGTATTTCCAAATAAATAGCAAAGCAACAAAGAGATGAAATTTTAAAATATCAAATTATCAGTTAAAATCTGGTTCTCCTATTTTTTCCCCCAATTCAATTTGGAGAATTTAACTGAGAACAGATAAATGGAGCATAAAGGAGTGGAAAGATTGCAGGGGAGGCTGCTGTAGAGGATTTGGGAAAACCTGTTCCTCAGTTGTTCTAAGAGAGCTATGAGAGCATAAAATACATGCAAGCATAGTGTGTACTGGAAGAAACGGGTAGGCTAGGGAGATGCAATATCTTCATTAAAAGTAAAAATGAGGGTAGCCTGTTGCATGTACATATAAAGAAAAATGTACGATGAAAACATTCACTCATGCAATTCCTTCTACCTAAATCAATGTTCTGTACTTATCTCTTCCTAACTCAAGCTTACATATTCAAGGGCCAGCTACAAATGCCATTTCTGCTGTGAAGTCTTACACAATGCCCATAGGCTTTTTTTCCTTTTACACTTTGACCATAGCATCTATGATTTTTTAAAATGAGTTATTTATGTATGTGTTCCCCATCCCCAATTTCACCATGAGTTCCTAGAATGCAGGGAACTCTTTCTCATTTCTATAGTTCCTTCAAATTCTAGCAGAAGGCTTGCCACATACATACTAGGTGTTCAGGAAATGTTGACTCAATAGCACTGGCTTAAGAGAGTGCATTATCACCTAGCTTACCTGAAGGAGCATTTGTTCTCTTTCTTTTCTTGCTTGACTCTCCTCCATTCTCAATGAGGCCTTCTGTGACCAGAGGGCCACTAGTACTACCAAATTGCAGGGGTTCGTTGTTGTTGGCAGGGTCAAAGGGCAGCTGGTTCAATCCTAAAGGAGAAAAAGAAGCCAAAATCCAGACTCCATTAAGGACTTGGATTTCTCCAGATTTTATTATATGAGCCACTGGAGAAAAAAGTAAATCTTAAGACTCTAGAATAGCCAGGGAATTCCTTAAACTAGTTGTTGTCTTTAATTTTTACAGATCTTAGTGACAAGTAAAATTAAAACTAAGGGTCTTATGTGGTTCTGCCATTTCTAAGATCCCCCCCATTTCTTGGAAATTAGCATGTCTTGCCACAACCTTTCAATTACTTTTAATCTCTTCCCTTAAAGACATAGGACCCTCTTTAAATGTGGCTGACATATTTCACAGATATAGAACAAACATTTCAAAAATTTATATGGAACCATAAAAAACCCCAAATAGCCACAGCAATTTTGAGGAAGAAATACAAAGTAGAAGGGATCATACTACCTGATATCAAACTATATTACAAGGCCACTGTAATCAAACAGTCTGGTACTAGCATAAGAACAGACACATAGATCAATGGAACAGAATATGGAGCAAATAAACCCAAGTCTCTACAGTCAATTAATATTCAACAATTGGGTAAGAAGCATTAAATGGAGTAAAAATAGCCTCTTGAACAAGTGGTGTTGGGAGATCTGGACAGATACATGCAAAAAAATGAAACTTGACCACCAAATTAAACCATGTAAAAAAGTAAACTCAAGGTACATAAAAGACTGAAATATATGTCATGACACCATAAAAGTTCTACAGGAGAATGTAGGCAGGAAAATCTCAGATATCCCACATGGCAATATTTTCATGGATATGTCCCCTAAAGCAAGGGACCTAAAGGAAAGCATGAACAAATGAGACCTCATCAAAATAAAAAGCTTTTGCATAGCTAATGAAAACATCAGCAAAATCAAAAGGGAACCAACTGCATGGGGAAATATATTTGCCAATGGTACCTCGGACAAGGGTTTCATTTCCAAAATATATAAAGAACTCACACGACTCTACTCCAGGAACACAAACAACCTGATTTAAAAAATGGGCAAAGAATCTGAACAGATACTTCTCCAAGGAGGACTTACAGAGGGCCCAGAGACATATGAAAGGATGCTCTGCATCACAAGCCATCAGAGAGATGCAAATTAAAACCACAATGAGATACCACTTCACATCTGTCAGAATAGCCATCATAAACACATCGACAAAAAAGTGCTGGAGAGGTTGTGGAGAAAAGGGAACCCTAGTACACCATTGGTGGGAATGCAGACTGGTGCAGCCATTATGGAAAACACTTTGTAATTTCCTCAGAAAACTAAAATGGAACTGCTTTTTAACCTGGCAATTCCACTGATTAGATTATACCCCAAGAATCCTTAAACACCAATTCAAAAGAACCTATGCACCCCAATGTTCACAGCAGCACAATTTACAATAGCCAAGTGCTGGAAGCAACCTAGGTGCCCATCAATAAATGAGTGATCAAAAAAGTACCTTTATACAATGGGAGACTTCTGCCAAGATGGAGGCATAGGTGGAAGCACTGTGCCTTCTCACACAACCAAGTTTAAGAACAACAAAGTTCTAGCAACAAAAATGCAGCCAAACCACAGAAAATTGAACTATATGGAAGTCTGACAACAATGAACCCTTCAGCCAAACTGCTAAGAGAGGCAGAGCCAGCAGCAGAGCTAGGTTGGGCAGGAAAGATCCACGGGACTGACCCGGGCGCACGACACAGGGGCGCCAGCAGCCGTGGGCTGATCCTAGGTGTGGAGTAGCGGGTGGACCCACTGAGGGTGCAAGGCGGTGGATTCACTGAGGGCTGCCCACGGTCACACATTCGCACGCAGATAAACCGGTGAAGGAGCAACAGGTGAGACAGACTGTGCAGACCCCAGTGGCGAGATGCAGCAGAAGGGACGGATATTGTCCCTCTCTGACCCCGCTTCCACATAAGCGTCACAAACCAGTGACCTGGGGGGCCCCGCCCTGGTGAACAAATAAGACTCTGCTCCTCATACGTAACAGGCAAGAACAGATCAAAACATAGCTCAAGAACAACTCAGAGCCCCAGAGCCGATAAATCTAAGTGATGAAGAAAAAGCCAAACTTTCAGATGCTCAGTTCAAAACACTGGTGATCAGGATGCTAACAGAACTGGTTGATTTTAGTCACAAATTAGAAGAACATATGGAAGCTAAACTAATTGAAATGAATGGAAATACACAGGATACCAATAGTAATGGAAAGGAAACTGGGACTCAAATCAAAGGAGTGGACCAGAAAGAGAAAAAAATTGACCAAACAGAAAAGGATGAAGAAACAAGAATTAAAAAAAAATGAGGAGAGGCTTAGGAACCTTCAGGACATCTTTAAATGTTCCAACATCTGAATTATAGGAGTACCAGAAGGAGAAAAGGAACAGCCATGAGTGAAAAACTTATTTGAACAAATAATAAAGGAGAATTTCCCCTATCTGGCAAAGGCAATAGACTTCCAGGAAATCCAGGAAGCTCAGAGAGTCCCAAAGAAGTTGGACCCAAGAAGGAACACACCAAGGCACATCATCATTACATTAGCCAAGATTAAAATGAAGGAGAGAATTCTAGAAGCAGCAAGAGATAAGGGGACAGTCACCTACAAAGGACTGTCAGTGGATTTCTCAAAAGAGACCTTACAGGCAAGAAGGGGTTGGAAAGAAGTATTCCAAGTCATAAAATCCAAAGACCTACATCCAAGATTGATTTTTCCAGCAAAGCTTTCATTTAGAATGGAAGGACAGATAAAGTGCTTCTCAGATAAGATCAAATTCAAGGAGTTCATCATCACCAAGCCCTTATTATATGAAATGTTAAAGGGACTTACCTAAGAAAAAGAAGATAGAAAAGATGAACAGTGAAAGGACAGCAAACTCACAGTTATCAACAACCATACCTAAAACAAAAGCAAATTAAGAGTACAGCTAGATCAGGAGTGAACCATAGAAATGAAGATCTCATGGAGGATTAGCAACAGGGGAGTGGGAGAAGGAGAATGGGGGAGAAGGTACAGAAAATAAGTAGTATAATGGTAGGTAGAAAATAGATAGGGGGGAGGGCAAGAATAGTATGGGAAATATAGAATCTAAAGAACTTGAGTCATAAACTAAGGGGGGGAATGGTGGGGGAGGGAGTGTGCAGGGTGGAGGGGAATGAAGGGGGAAATAGAACAACGGTAATGGCATAATCAGTGAAATATATTTAAAAATATAAAGAAATAAAATCTTTTTAAAAAGTACCTTTACACAGTGGAATGCTATGCAGCTGAAAGAAAGAAGGAGCTCCACTCTTTGCAACAGCATGGATGCATCTGGAGAACATTATGCTAAGTGAAATAAGCAAGGCAGTGAAAGACAAATACCATGTGATGTCACCTATAAGTGGAACCTATCAACAAAATGAACAAGCAAGCAAAATATAACCAGCAGCATCGAAGTAAAAAATATACCAACAGTAACCAGAGATGAGGGTGGAGGTGATAATGGTGGAAAAAAGAAGAAGGGTCATCAAGGAACATTTATTTGACCCATGGACAAAGCCAAAGAGGGGTAGGATCAAGGGTGAGAGGTGGAGGTGGGTGGTGTGAGAGGGGAGTGGTGGGGAGAAAATGGAGATAACTGCACTTGAACAATATGAAAAGAGAAAATAAAAATCAAAACTATAAAAATTCTTCATATAAAAATATGCCTATATTTAGACCCACTGTTTGTTTGCAAAAGCTTAGCCATGAATTCCTTAGATTATCTCTTGACAGTTTCTTATTCTTTCATTGCAAGGGTTGTTGAATCAATGCAGGTATACTCAGAATATCCTGGTATCAAAGTCTCTTCCAATGATTACATAAAGATTTCCAAAAAAGAAAAGCATAACTACATAGCAAATGAGAAATGGAAACAAAGATATGTAACTTGCAAAGAGGGATTATTTAGTAATTGAAGTGTTGGGAGTTATGACCCAGATTTGGGGAGTGTTAATCACATCCTCTTCAAATGATATCAGAAGCACCATCACTTTACCAGTAGCTGTTGCACCACCCAACATGGCAAAAGACATTTTCTACTCTCTAAGTCTTACACAATTCAGTGAGGGATGAGTAGAGATAGTTGTTACTCCTCTGGCAGCAGCACCTGGATTTTCAAGTGCTTCAATGAAAACTCCCTAAAATGTGGAACCAAAAGCTTTGTTAAATCCCAGTGTTAGGCCATCTTTCCCAAGTCTTTTATCCACTGGTTCTCTAATCCTATTCAAGAAATCAGGTTGGCCTGCCATGGCTCTTTTTTTAACCCTCAAGTTTTCTATGACCCACAGTTATATAATTCTTGAGGCACTGTTTTGAAATGCCATTACAAGCATGGGATCTAGTCAGGTGAAAGTCAATCAGGTTTCAGTAAAATGAATGCTAAAGTTCTAACAAAATGACTTTTTGTTATTGTTCTGATTCTAACAAAATAACTTTACATTATTGCTTTTAATTGAAAATATCCCTTACTAATGTTATAGCCCACATAACAAGTACCATTTCCTCAGTAATCAGACTCAGAACACCTCCATTAGATGTTTTCTGAAAACTGTCAAACATTTTCAGTTTACATCATCTGAGTAGCTAAGTGAAATAATAAAAACTTGCTTCTATATCTTAAGTGTACCACTCACTGCATCACATCTATGTCCTATTGAATCCCTACCATAAGTAGAATAAAAAGAAGTCTGTGTATTAGAAAATATTCAGATCATGACCAAGACTATTTTCAAAGTTTGTAAGCTCTCCTAAAAAAGATCTCTCCCTCCCTCCCTCCCTCCCTCCCTCCCTCCCTCCCTCCCTCCCTCCCATATAACTGTATTCCTGGTGCTGAGCACCATGTCTGCCACATGCAATATTAAATGAATGAATTAATACTCAATAGGGCAGGGAGGTGACTCATTCTATTAACTTATGTAATTATTAAAGACGACAGCTGATAATCAAGAATTAATGCCACATT